ATAATAATAATAATAATTGGCCATGAAAATAAAGATGCGCAGTCTTCAACGTCGTTGAGAAACGTTATCAACTCAAATTAAAAAAAAAATTTGAGCGTTATGATTCTCAGCTCTTCATAGGTATATATCACACGTTATATGAATATAGTATAATTTTTACTCTATATAAATTCAGTTTGAGTTTCCAAACGACCAAAGCACTTCTCTGTTCTCTAAATTCAGTTTCTAGAAACGCGGTTGAATGACTGACTTTCACGAAATTGCCAGTATGACGGTCGAGTAGTCGAATGGAGCACAGGTCAGACTCGCGGCGTTTTCAACGAGTGGTAATCGAGTCGTTTGTTCAGGCACAAGCAAAGCCTGGTAAACACACGCAACAGAACAGAAAGAAAGAGAACTCTCAGCAGATTCTAAGGAGGGACAGACCTCTGGTCGACAGAACGGCAGAGAGAGCGTAGAATTTTGCGAATGAAGGAAGAGCAATGGAGGAAAGGATGAAAAATTAAAGCGTTCAGATCGGTGCCAGTTGAAAATGAAACAGAACACCGTGCGTCAACACGTGAAGGTGGAGAGAGAAGAAGCAGATGGCCGATGCAACGTTGGCCTTTAATGGAAATTAAGTAAAACAGAATCGAATGAACTGTAACCAAAATTGTGTTCGCTCGATGGAAAACAAAGAGCCGACCCAGACCGGGTAGGGAATGGCTCGATCGTACGAAACAGAGACGGAGAGTCACACGAAAAAGAATTTGGCAGGGTTAGGGTGCATACACATTTGTTACTATTTAATGATAACAAAGTTTGATACAGGGCCAGTTTCTAAAGTTTATTCATACTTATACCTAGTGGTGGGATCAAATGTGTATTAAGTATAATCGATATAATATAAGCCTCTCAATTGACATAGGTACAAAATAATGAAGTATTATAGAAAATACTATATTTATATTACTCTACTATATATTTATATTATATTTTCTATATATTGATATTACTATACTATATAGAAAATAATATATTTATTATAGAAAACGATTCTGTCCAATTGGGAACCAATGGCGAAGAATTATAAAGAGATTTGGGGAAGATTTTTGCATCGAATCTTGTTACTTGCGGAATATAATACTAACGTGTGTAGAATTAACAGTGACAAATGTGTACGCACCCTTAAAAGGAACGATGAGCGACGGAGCAGAAACACCGATGTTCGGTAGGGCAGAGGGAAGAAAAGGGAGAAGCAAAGAGAGAGAGAGAGAGAGAGAGAGAGAGAGAG